GATGACACCCCTTCCCAAAGCACCATCACCCAATCTGGTGGTGGTGGTGGTGGTGATGATGATGATGGTGGTGGTGGTGGCAGCCCCCTTCTCTGCCTGCGGATTTAGGGCCCCTTCGCATCCCCAGAAGGCAAAACGCCGCCGCTGTGAGCTCCTCAGGGTTTTTCCACCCGCTCAGGATAAGCAGGAACATGGCATCGGGTTCAGCTGGGAGAGGGGAGGGAGGGAGGGAGGAGAGAGCGCCGCACGTTTTGTTTTAAGCGTGTAGGTGCTTATTGTTTCAGCAGGAGGAGACCCTCTCTCCGCCAGGGCGCTCAGGTTGCGCTCTATGCGGCGGTTTGCAGGGCGGTACGGTGTTTGGCGATAGCGCTAGATACGCAACCTCAAAGACGGTGAGGAAGGGGAGGTGGGCACTTGCTTCCTTATCTTCTACCAGCACAGCTTGATAGTCGCTGCTGGCTCTCCTGACCTTGAGCTCCAGATTGTGGAATGGTGGTGAGGCAAAAAACCGTACTGTCTTTGGAGATGGTGCCGATGCCTTGCGGAGGGAGGGCTGTTTTTTGAATCCCGGGAGCCCTTTCGCGGCTCTCCGCCCACCCCCGTGCCAGCCAAAGGTGCCAGGAATATGCAATGGATACTTTTCGTGTTCATCTCTCTGGCATGCTGCAGCTGATGCCAGACGCCTGCTCTGTGTAGGGATTATCGGGCGTTTTACGCAGGGACATTGATCAGCTGCTTTTATCTCAGGCATGCTCATCTTGGTTTTCAGTGATTTGCTGTGGGATGACATTGACTGAATAAGGACTGGTGCATCTTCGAGAGAGGGAGGGAGGGTGATCTGCCCACTGCTGCTCTTCTTCCCTGGGAGTTATCTTTAGCAGAGATTTAATCTGGGAGGTTTGGGATTGGATGCGGTGCTGGCCTGAGCCTTGTACCAACCGCTGACACTGTTACAAAATGCTGCTGGGTCAGAATGGCAACCCAAACCTGTTGGGCCTAATGTTGCACATGCTGCTTCCACTGGTTTAAGCTCATTTACTGGGACTAGAAGCATGCTTTGAATTTTCTTGGCTGCTTGGGAAAAATAGCAGATCCGGTATGGAACTGGCTGCAGTAAGAAAGTCCTGGCTTCACTCTGTTCATGAGAGTGAGCATGGCCACATCCTCCCACTGCGGTTCCAGGAGGACACAGGGCAGGGAATCTGTCTCCTGGTATCTGCTCTACCCCCAACTTATTGTAGATGCTAAATTCATTCCGTGTTAGCCACCAGATGGCAACCATATTAATAGTTAATATTAAGGTAGGTGGTGAAGGCTGAGCTCCTGGACCGCTGATGAAGTTATTGTGTTTACTGGTGAAGCTTGGAGCCAAGTGTGGCCTGCCAGGCCCTTCCCAGACTTCTTATCTGAACACACACAGGTTCTTTTCCTAGGGAGAGAATTTTCCACAAATTCCTCTCAACTGGTGATCCAATTCACTTCCGTACTTATTCCCTGATGGTGGTTGGGGATGTGGGAACAACAACAATTGAGAGATTAGCTGTGTGTTGCAGGTAATTTACAAGATCTGAAATCAGTTGTTTGTCTCTTTACACAGGAAAAAGCACAGCTCCATTTCACTCTAAGTAGAAGAGGAAAACAAAACCCAAAGCACTTGCTTAATAAGTTTACACAAATTCTAGGCCCTTCAGCTGTTGTTATCCTAAAAGCAGGTGGAACAACTTTGCTCTCTGGACTCTCAAAAAAGGAAAAAAGGGCATTGCTTGCTTCATTGTCTGACAGGTCTCTTCATACTGCGAAAGCTTCATCTCTAGCAGTTCCTCTTTTGTGGAGTGTTAGGTGTTTTACCCTTGTCTCTAAGGGACAGATTTCTTCACTGAGGCCAGTGTGCGAATGTGAACTTTCAGCTTGTGAGGAAAAGATAGAGCCGAATACGAAGCGAAGAGGAAGGCAGCAGTGGTTATGGCCCTGTACTGGTGCTAGGCTTGTGGTATTTTGTTTTAAACTGTTACGTGATACTATGTGTAGCAGGAAGGGTAAACCACGTGCCTGAAGATAAGGACCAGGTGTTTAAGAAATATTATTAAAAAAAAAAGTAATCAGAAGTGTGTGGAGGTAGATCTGGGTAGACATCAGACCAAGCACTCAAAAATGTATCAGATTTTGGTGAAGGGATGCTGAGTGGTGTTGAACTTTCCTTTTTGAGGCGAGTAGAATTTGAGGCTTAAACAAGCTGACAGTGTTCCTTTTACATATCCTCTTTTGAATCTAGGGTAAAAATTCTTCCCTTCAGAATGGTATCTCTCTCCCAACTTGAGCCCTGAGGCTTTAACTTCAGCAATTTCCTTCATGGTGAATTTAAGCCTTGTGTTAAGCAAAGAATGATGTCTTTTTGTTCAGTGCAGAATTCGCACTGAAACACTGTACACATCCTTTTTTCCCCTTCTGAGATGGCTATTATGTAAAGTATGTAAGATATTCCTTCAGAAGTACTGTTTGTTTTGAGCCTTTCAGCAAAACTATTGGCTATTTTTGGAAGGCACTTTCTTGATTCCACAGGAAATATGGGGCAGAATGGTTGACTGTGCTGTTTGCAAATGGGCTGTGAACCCTAACCTAACCCCTCTCTCTACTCAAAGGTAGCTTGGAGTACAATACTTGGCAATAATTTGCCCATTGTCTAATGAAATATATCAAATAAGTTGATACCTCTGTCCAGAGGAACCCACCTAGCAGAGAGGACCCACGCAACTGTTGCTAACTTGGATGTTATCCTTTGCAACAATTAGATTTAGGCTGGAAGACACGCTTTGTTCATTCTGTAGTTAGCTGAAGGATTTTCAGACCAAGATGTTGAGATCTGAACTTTACATAATTCTAGACTTCTTAAAATTGAGTAAAATTGTAATGCCTCCAATGTCATGGTGTCTTGGAGAGAGCCTCGTGTTTGCAAGCTCTTTTAAACTTTGCCAGTAAGGATTTGAAGTTTTTTTTTTGTCTGTAATCTCAGTTAAATTTTATGTTTCTGCTGTGTGCTCAGTTTTTATCGTACACTTCTGAATTTTTTAAAAATCTCCCCAAATTCTACAGCTCTTTTTTTGCTCAAAGACTGTCCTGTTTCTGGATGTCAGTCTGCACATGCACAAACATTTCTGCTTTGAACAAATTAAAACAGTGTCTCAGCAGCTTGATGCAGTCCTGGTGTGAACGTAACTCCTCTGCGAGGGTCCGGGAGGGGGCTGAGTTTAGGGAGCAAGTGGATTGAGGTTTTGATGCTTGACTGGCAGCGAGGGTCCCTGTCATAGAATCAAGCTCTCTGCTTTCCTCCAGCAGGTTAGACAGAGGTTCAGAGTGGGAAGAGGGTATTGGCTGTGTGAGTGCCAACTGAGGATTTAAATTACATACAGATTAATGGGCATGTCTGAGGAGATGAATTGTAAAGTTGACATTGGAAAGAGAGGTTTTTCTTCAGGAGCTTTTTTGTGCAGAGAGTAGAAAGGGAGGAACCTATTTTTCCCTTTCTGGACTTCAACCGAGCATGAGGAGTTCCTGTCCTGTGGGAGTGGTGGTCTCTTGCTCTCTTTTAATTATACAGCTGGGCAAGTCTGCGTACTGTGACATGAACAGGCTCTCATATTTTTTTCATGCTTTTACTGTGAGGCACCAACAAACCAAGAGGAAGGCTTTGTTCCAGGACCTGTCAAAGTTTGGTTTGGACATCCAGACTGCTTTGCATTAGAGGGTATCATTCAGGTCATAGACTCTGCCACTGACTTGCTGTGTTGCCATAAGACGTCATTTCTGCTTTCTGTTCTTGGCTTACTTTGTTTATCTCGCCAATGTTTACCCACATCTATGTTTGCAGAGTTTCTCTGAGTAAAACTGTTCTCCTCTGGCTGCACAGTCTGAGGAGGCTGGGCTGTGTTTCTGGGCTCACAGGGCTAGCGTGACCATAGCTGTTGGTAGCCAGGCTTGCTGATGCTCATTCCTGGACTGCTACAGAGCAAAAAAAGATTTATATCCGGCCTGTAAACCAAAGGCTTGGCTAAAGAATTTGCAGCCCAACAAGGAGAAATAACCAAGGACGCTGACCCTAAAAAGGAAGTTGGAGGACTGCTTTTGGCAGGCCATTGTGACCTGATGTTCCAATGCTTTTTCAAATTAGTTTGTCTCATGTAATGATTGTAGCAGCACAGGCTGTGTCCAGAAAGGATCTTTTCCTTTCCCAGAACACAAAGCTTTGTTTCTTTCCCCTTGTAATCCCTTAGTGGACATGAGGAGGCTGTGATTTGGGTGGAACAAGGTTTGCAGAAGGCATGGCTTGCATTTTGCGTTTGCCCTGATAAGATCTTTTTTTTCCCCTCGATAAGACATGGTCCAATAGGTGGAGCATGGCAGGTGAGAACACCTGGAAGGAAATCTCAGCCCTGTTGAAGCAAGTGGGAGTCTATACCAACAAGCAGCACCCAAGAACCCTAAATCAAATTTAAACACAGCTGTCTTCAGGATTCATCTGAAGATGAGGGGGGAGGCTGCCTGATCTGCAGATGAGGAGGGAGGCTTTTATATAAAAAATGGTGGATGCAGAAAGCTCTCTTGTTGAGAAGAAAGTATCACATCTACCTGCTCAGGAGGAGGGAAGTTCCTTATTGTTTTTTTTGTTTGGGATCCTTCTGTATCTTCAAAGCTTCTATGGTTTTTGCTTGGCTTTGCCACCTGACTGTCCTACCCTATGCAATTTGTCTTGTGCCAGTGAAATACAAACTGCCTGAAGAGCTTTACGAGTTGTTCTCTTGCTGATCTGGCATGAAACTTCCTTTTCTTTTTCCTTTGAGAACTCCCTAGAAGACAAGGAAAGGGCTTCTTGCTTTATTTCTGTTAGCTTGCTCTCTCAAGAAGGTGGCAGGTAGAGTCTCAAAGGTACTTTGT